GCTCCCCTCAGCAGTGTATTTCAGTCAGTCTGCCTGTTCTGTTCCTTGCTCTGCCTCTGGTGAATCCTCTCACCCCCAGACCTCTGGCCTGTACCCCAGCGCTTGTATGCATAAATATTTTTTTTTTTTAAAGAGTACTCCAGCTTCATTTTAAGTTTCTGTCACCATGATAGCAAAGTAATGCCAATTATTTTGTGGCAAAGGAATTGCCCTTAGCTACAGATGATGTGAATTTATGGAGAATTTTTGTTGCTATCTCCATAGCATTGCATTGCCCTCTGGGAAATGATCAGGTTGAAATATGCTGCAGGTTTCTTCAGATACCAGGACATGCTTTTGGAAGATAATTATCTAGAGACTCTCCAGGTATCTCCTAGCATCGACCTCTATGAGTAACCACAGGCATTAGACCCAGCAAGCTATCTTGGTTGTCTTCATCTAGACTTCACTGAGGAATCACAAGACAAAGTAAAATATGGTCTTGGTGCTGCTTGGGTTGTATGTGATAACTTTACCCTTTTTTTATATATACATTTTTTATTTTTTATATCATTGTTCTTTTTAAACAATATTTGCTTCCCCCCACCCCCTCAGGTGTAGTTCCCATAGTTTCCTTCACCAATGCACCCATGCACCATCACCTCAGTCCCCTGTGCTCCTCCCTCCCTCCCTCTGATCCCTCTCCCGCCTCCTCCCCTGCAGGATGTCTCTGATTTATAATTGTCTGTTTTTGCTTTGTTGTGTTTTGTACTGTTGTTATTTTTTTTTACACTGATGTCTTATTTGGTTCCCCTATATTCCTGCTATAAGTGAAAACATCTGTTATTTTTCTTTTTCCTTCTGTCTTCTCTCTCCTACATTGCTGGTGGGAGTACAAACTGGTCCAACCACTATGGAAAACTGTCTGGAGTTTCCTCAGTATACTAAAAATGGAGCTACCATACAACTTGGCAATTCCATTCCTAGGGATCTACCCAAAGGACACAAAAACATTGTTTCAATAGAGCACCTGTACACCTATGTTTATTGCAGCACTATTCACAATAGGTAAAACCTAGAAACAACCCAAATGCCCAAAAATAGATGACTGGATCAAGAAGATGTGGCACATACACACAATGGATTATTATTCAGCAATGAAAAAATATAAACTCGTGCCATTCACAGCAACATGGATGGAACTAGAAGAAACTTCACCCTTTTAAATGTAAGAGTAGTCTTTGCCAAGAACAGCAGGGAGAGCCAGAAAATAGGTGTCAATCACTCTTCTTGCTGTTTAAGGAGTGTCTTATCTAGAATCAGGGAGATACATATGCAGGACTTTTAAGATTTTACTGTTGTTTTAGTGAAGGTTCTCGAGGGAAACAGAAGCAGTGGGATAGATATGCAGGAAGAGGTTTGTTATGATAAATTGGATGATTGGATGACACTGAGAAGCCCACAGTCTGCCTCCTGCAACCTGGAGACCTAAGAAAGTTGCTGATGCAATTCCTGTCTGGGTTGGAAGCCTTGAGAATCAGAAAAACCACTGGTGAAAAGCTCAGTCTGAGAGCATGAGAAGAACAATGTGCTGGCTTAAGCAGTGGAGGCAAAGGGGGTGAATTCCTTTTCCTGTGCCTTTTTGTTCTCTGCTCATGCCCTCTGTGGCTGAAATGATGTCCGCCATGCTGGGGAAAGCCAGCTCTTTCACCAAATCATCAATTCAAGAGCTAAGCTCAGCCAAAAATATCCTCAGAGAAATACCCAAAAACAATGTTTAATCTGAGCATCCCATGACTTAGTCAAGTTGGCACATAAAATGAACTCTCATGGCCTCTCAAGTCTTATAAATATTCTATAGAGACAGAGTGTGATTAACTATGAATGTTGTTTTGTTGTAGGCTATTTATTTATTTATTCACTATTCTATCCCAATCCAGTTGCATCAGATTTGAAGGGTTTACCTTTCTTTTTGGGAAAAAAAAAAAATCCATCTTCTCCCTGTCATGATGACCTATGTACTTGTTATAGCTTTACTCTACAAAAATTGGAAGCACCTAGAAAAAATACATTTGAAGCAGTGATAAATATTTTCAAAGGGGGAGAATAGTGAGTACAAAGGGGAAAGTCAGCTAAGAAAAACATAAGGTGAGTGATATTAGCACACTTAGAATAGATACCCTGTCTGCATTCCTGAGTTGTTGCTAATGGAAGACCCACAATGATGAGCCTGAACTCCCTAGCCAGAAAACAGTCATAAACAATAGTTCTTGCATGCCTTGCAGTGTTCATGAAACATAAAACTGGAGTCATTCAGAAGAAAAACAGTTTGGTCCCACACTGGTAGTCCTCCTGGTCATCTGTCAGGAGGAGTGAGGTCTCTGGAAGGCAGATCTTCCACCTCCTTGGCCAAAACCAGCACAAGAACCTACCTGGTGGCAATGGATCTATTGAAATTCATGTCATGGATCTTCTAAAATAAAAACAAGCAGTAGGTGCTCAATACTGTCCCCAATACAAACACATAGCATTATGGAAAGTGCTGGGTTTCTTTATGTCTAGCTATCCAAGTCAGTGATAGGGTAACAAAGGTGATGAAATAAGAAAAATTCAGTTAGCAAACAACGATTATAAAGAGAATACAGAGTAGATGTGATTAAGAGAAATATGTCATCAACACAAAAATATATTGACAGCTATGTTTATTACATGTTAGTGTGTGATGTTACATGTTTTGTGCCATTAAATATTGTCTATATAGAAACAGACAAGCTCCTAGCTATGATACCTTGATAATGTGTGCATCCTGCCAAGGTTAGTGCCACCTGGCCAATCCAGCAGACACCACTTCAATCAAAAGAAAGTAGCATTTCTTAGGGAAAGGTAGATTTTGCAAAAAACTGTTAGAAAATTCGTCTTATCATAATTATAGCTTTTGTTTGAAAAACTGACATTTATCTTGGTGTGACATTTTCCTAATCCCTTGATGACTCTTAGTTGAAATACATGCAGAGTTAAAACTGTCATGTAAGTATAACATATGAATTTATAACTTTATAATTTATAATATAAATGATGCTATTATTAGATGACAGGGATGCTTGTCCTAACCAGTCTACAGATGACTATAAGGACAACTGTTAAAAAAATGCCACCTTTGTTGCTATAGCCTTTATGATCTAAAAGGCTCTCATTTAACTGGATCCTAGAGAGTCCACAAAGTTGACAAGTCAATTAATGTTTAAGTTTTATTTTTATTTTTAAGAAAGTTGAGAGAAGAGACAGGAGGCACTGACCCATACACTAAGTAGGAAAGACAGGAAGGGAATTTTTCTGGAAAGCCAAATGAAAAAAGCACTTGGAAGAACCAAGTTGGTTTTTGGGTAATAAATGCAAGCATGTTAGCTGTTGATTCACTCCTACTTCATAACTCTTTAAGATTAAATAAGAGGCAAATCACAAGAACGTTTGCCCCCAGAAATTACACCAATGGAATATCCTCCATTGGTGATTAAGCGCCTCCATGACGAAGTTTGAAAGGGAAAGTCAACCCAAGTGAAAAGTTGAAAACTCAGTCTTGTGTTTTGTTTTGTTTTGTTTTGTTTTTCAGTTCCAGAAGCAATACTTTAAACTTCAGTGTCCAGGTCTATATCTTGAGATAAAACTTACTAATTTCCCTTTCAAGAGATGGCCTTGCCCTAATTATACTCTGTAACGACCACAGTGAAAAACTGGGTTCCTGACTGACCCTAGCTCATTGTCCCTGATGATATGAGACCAGCTAACAACACCTCCCCATGCAAGGCCTTACATGTTCCTGATGGCCCCATAGCAAGTCCATACTTTTGAAAAGCCTACAGTGTGCCTTGTCATTGCGTCACCACAAGGATGACTTATACACTGGCTCTTGATTTCCTGTCCTTTGTCCTATCTTCATGCCACTACAGTCTCACTAAATATGCCTCTGGCTTCCAGGTTAGCAGAGAGGGCATAAGAGGTGTGGAATTGGTGCCTGTGTAAGTTCCATGTTGTTACCGAACATTGTCCTCATTTTTATTCCCTTCTGTAGAGCCATTCTGGTTTACGTATCTCAGAAACTGAGAATTCCTGCCTTCTCCAGACTTCTCAGTCCATCTTTTTAAAAGTGAATTGTTGAGTTTTTGTTCTGCAAGTGGACATGTTTTAATAGAGCAGTGATTCTTGGTTACTATGAAAATACAGAAATCCAGTTCCACTCTCAAATTCTAATTCAGGATATCTCTGTGGTGGAGTTTAAAGATACGTGGTTTTAAAACTTTCAGAGGGGATTCTCATTTGCATCCAGCTTTTACTAGAGTTGTGGAGAAAACTGCCTTTGATTTATGCAATTTATCCAATCATTTCTATACAAGACACAAAAATAGCACACAAGTAGCACTTACAGTGACATCCACCAAGGTAGGCGATACCCTTGATTTAGAGGATTTAAAAGCAAAAAATCCTCTTTTTTCTCCTATTTATTTTTGTAGGATAAGATGGAAAAAGGTCAAAGAGAAAGGTTTCAGAGATATACTCATTTATAAATCCTCATTTAAATAGATCTACAAACCAGCATTGCCAACTCTGTATTTAATGAATTCTACTTTAAAGCATTATGTTAAGTACTAAAGCTAAGGAGATCAATAAAATATATGTTAAGTATGAGATTACTCAGAAACCTAGGCAGCAGGGGGTGGTAAAACCCTGAGCCATATGGGCAACTCCAAATATAAAACTGGTTGTACATGAAACTTGATCAGCATGCAGAAAACTTCAATGTGAGTCAAACATAATATAATGAAAGAGCATTGGGTGGGGGCCAGTGACTTGAGTCCTAACTCCCCATCAGCTATGAATTCTTCTCAGGTTTCTGACTGGATGCATCTGTGGATTTCCAAAGCCCCTTCCTGTTCTAAGTTCCCCAGCTTTGCAGTCATCCTATAATCATCTATTTCTGATGATAATTCTGTTTCTGATTCTCTTGCCTTATTTTTCTTTTGCAGATTCTGTTCATGGGCATGATGACTGAGTACTATCACTACTTTTTCACAACCTTGGTAAGCACCCCTAATAGAAATCTACCCCACACAATAGAAAACATCTTCAGTTATTTCAAAATCAGCCTACCCCTCGAAGGCAGAATATTGTCATGGAGATTTGTCTTCCTTTCCTAAGAACCCAGAAGTGCTGAATGACGGGTACCTTCCTCTCTCCTTCCCTCCTTCTAAGAGCATCAATGCATGTGTATCCAGAAAAGGAGTAAAATGAAACTTTGATTAAGTTAAAATTGTTGAAGTGCAAATTATTCATAAAGAAAAACCAACTATATTTTCTATATACATAAGAAAATGCAACAAAGTGTGTCTTGGTGTTCTCTGATCTGTTGCGCTTTACCCACTAGTGTCCGGTCAATATCTGGGTTAGACAGGGGCCACCTATCAGGTGTTTTGAACTCTGTCATGAGGGGGAGCTTGGGAGGTATTCTGAGTGTGGATTATTTTGCAGCCTGAGAAAAATCATGGCTCCAAAAACTTAAAAATTCTTAAGAAACTATCAATGGAACACCTTACATTTCAAGAGATCAGCAAATCAAGGGAGAATGATATAGGGCATTTAACACCTCAAAATTATGTAATAGTTCTCATTCAGCCACTATCAAAAATCACCTCCCCACATACTCCACTTCCTTAGAAGGGAAAACCTATAACCAACCACCTTTGCTAATCTATAAATGTGTGTCGACAAAACTCTACCCAGATTCTGGGAGATTCAGTACCATTTACCAAGATCAACAAGGTAGTCTAGTGAGTGATAAAAATCAAAGTAATTGGAACAAGGATCATAGTATTGATAGAAGTAGGAACAGTCTCTGACAGAATACAGGGGTGCAGAGATTATCAGGAGAACAATGGTTAGGGGCACTTGTCAACATTCTTACTGCTCCCCCATTTGAGTGGGGTGCAAGATAGATTGTTTTGTACCCAAGTTTCCATGTTCTTCCTTCCCACTGATGTCCTGATCATCAGGTCATCTGTGCAAACATTCAAGGAAAATGTCAAGAACTAGAAAGTACCTTATTCTGTTCGCAAATACGGCCCCGTCCCCATCATGAGGAACACCCAGATGTTATGCAAGGCAACATGGCCCTCTAGCTCAGATTGTTCTCTCATGCCCAGCTGCACACATGCCTAAGAGCTGATTTTTCTTTTTAATGTGAGAAAGAAAGAAACTTAAGTAGACTGCTTTTCAATAGAGCCCTTTGAGGGGTGAACACACTCTTGTGTTCATCCTTCATTCACAGAAGAGAATGAAAATCCGTTCTCTATGAAAATTCAGTCATGAGGCCAACCTAATTCCACCCATGTTTCATGTACTCATTTTAGCAACACTGCTTTTATATACTGTTGAACTCTTCAGGGATTTGATATGCATCTTGGAAGGTTCTGTCTGACCTCCTGAAGCTTGAGTCACTTTCCTTGTAGTCATGGACTGTGTGAAAAGCGTTGTTCTTTCCTTGGTTTTACTCCTTCAATTTGCTTCTCTCAGCATTTTCCTTTGGTTTTTATCTGTGTTCTGTCATGCTTTCCTTTTTTAAATCTTACTCTGTCTGTGAGTATTAATAAAACATAACGATGAAAGAAAATTAGTTACTTAGCACCAGGGAGAAATAGAATACTTTAAAAGGCAATTCACTTTTTCTGACACTTTCCTAGGAGCACAGAGCTACACTCATATAGTTCTACTATCTAATGCAAAATAATCCTGGGACAGGGTCATGAGGGGAGTGACATAGAGAACAGTCATTCACAAAAACAAATCTGTATGCAGCTTCTGCAAATACAAATCATTGAGTATTTCTGAAGCTGCTCTTTTGTGTAATCACAATCATCAGCGATAATGTAGTAGCTTGTATTGGGCTTTCAAAAAGCAGTTACACTATTAGACCATTTTTATGGACATTTGTTTCCACTTCAATGCTGTTTTGAAAGTTTGTTTTTGTCTTGAATATGAGAACACCAGGATTAATGATATACTTTAGCGTTTAACCTTTTTACATGAAAAATGTTGAAATTATCACATGAGAGTTTTAAATGTGAATCAGTTAAAAAAAAAAAAAAAACTCAGCCTCTTCTCTTAGGAATGACACTGGGGTTAAACTTCTTTTCCTGAAACACTGTCTGAAACTGAACAACTTCCATTGTTATGATACTCACGTCCACATGAACATCTGCTCTGGTTTCTCCTCTGAAGGGAAACCTTTGCTTCTTATTGTGAACCTGTGAACTGTGACTATTCTCCATGCTCTCATTATATGCGACCTGGGTTATTTTCAGTGAGTCTTGGGATGGTATATTTTCCTAGCAGGAAAGACTGTTCTGTGAAATGCACATTCAATTTCCACAGTTCACTTTCTAGGCAAGACACAGGCAAGCTGAGGCAACAGACATGATGGAAAAGGATGGTATTGACCCCAATGAGTGGGTGATTCTTGATCCAATCCCATCACCACTCAGAACCTCAGTTTCCTCATCTATGAAATAAAAGCACTGAAACAAATGGACACAAAGATCCCTTCTAACTCCTCGAAAACTCCATCTAGGAACCTTCTCAGAGTGTCATCTTCCACACCTAAGGGTGTTCTAATGATCAGCAGTCCTATTCCTCTTGTTGGCTTATTCGAACATTAGCTGTGTTGCAAACAATGGATGGAAATTGAGACCGCTTACAGGCTTAATGTTTTTTACACAGAAGGCAAATGAGATACAATGGCAAATGTTCATTTATACAAGGAGTGTAATCGTGGCTGCCATTTCTGCTGCGATCTATTTGCCACTTTTGCCATCACTCATTCTCCTGTGTATGAAAAACATTGAAAACATGAACTCTGCTTTTATCCTTTTTCACCCTGCACAGGACTTATTTGCTCTAGATCTGGAGCTGTACAGGTACAGTGGCGTCAACATGACGGGGTTTCGGCTGCTGAACATTGACGACCCGCACGTGTCCTCCATCGTGGAGAAGTGGTCCATGGAGAGGCTGCAGGCCCCGCCCAGGCCCGAGACCGGGCTGTTAGACGGCATGATGACAGTAAGTCTTTCTCAAACAAACACCTGTATATTTAAGATAAATATTGAAATACAGGGAAAATAAATCAGATCATGTTTGAATTCCCTAGGGGTGAGGTTAGAATGTCACATGCTGGGCCTCCCTGGTGGCCCAAGCAGTTAAGTCTCAGCACTATGAAGCTATCAGCAGCCACTGCAGCATGAGTTCCATCCCTGGCCAGAGAGCTGACCCACATGGCATAGCAGACCTCTCCTGTCTCTCCCTCTGCTCCCCTCAGCAGTGTATTTCAGTCAATCTGCCTGTTCTGCTCCCCACTCTGTGTCTGGTGAATCCTTTCAAACCCAATCCCCACACCTCTGGCCTGTACCCCAGCTCTTGTACGAATAAACAAATCTTTAAAACAAAATATTATCAGAAAACACAAAATCTATGATCTCCTATCTTGACTGATAGGAGAGAAGGAGCAACATTTTACTTATTTTGAAGGCAGGTACTGGCTACTCTCAAGATCTGACTGTGCAGCCTCAGATAAAAGCATTCAGTGTACTTGTCACATCGGACATACGGCGACAAAGCAGAAACCCAAGCAAAGTAAGGGCAGGCGGGGGGGATTCACCCCTGGGAAGGTGCCTGCAGGAAGGAGTGAGAGAGGGGGAGATGCAAGATGCCTCTAAGTGACAGACCCAGCTTGCCCTCCCTGCCTCAGCCGCATCTCAGCAAGGAGAAGCACGTGCTTGAAGGTGCCAGCTCCACATACAGCTGGTGCGCTCACTCCTCCATCCCGCGTGTGTGCTGGCATCCCGGGCACACACTCACAGGCTTCACACCAGCCATATGCTGCCTTGGAGCAGATGCCAAGCCTGCCTCCTGACAAGGGAGGGGCTCTGCCAAGCAGATACATTGGAAACCGCCTTAACAGACATCTCCTAGCTCACATTTGTCTTTTTGTTGTCAAATGCACGTTCCTCACGTGATTTTTCTAATGAAGCTCCCTGTGTAATGAAGAAAATAACAGGAAGTTTTAAAAAAATCAGCTTTCAATGTAGGAACTGTGTCATCTAAGGAGGAAGATATTGGGCATGCGAGCAGGTAATAGCATTTTAAATTGGCATAGTATTTCATTCTCTGTTCCCATCATCTGGAGAAGTGCTCTTGCTTTTAAGATGCAATTTACCGATAACTGCAAAGTATCATCTCCCAGAGAAATGAACTTGGGGTTTCTTTTCTTTTTCTCCCTTTTCTTAAAATGAGTAACAAATGAAAAGAAATAAATGAATGAATGAAGTAGTTCCAGATGATGCTGTGTGCAAGATCCCTATTTTTTCAAACCTAAAATAACTTCTCAAATATACAAAGTGACCTGAGAGATAATAATGGAAAGTATTTTGGTACAAATGAGTCCTGCAGTGATTTGAAACATTGCTTTGAATAAAGATAAACACATGCAGTTTGCAGCAACATGGATGGAGCTGGAAGGGATCATGTTCAGCAAAATAAGTCAGAAAGAAAAAGAAAAAGAAAAATACCGGATGGTCTCACTCATAGCAGGAATTTAGAAAACCTAAGTAATGGACCAGGAAAAAGACTAATTAATACAAAGTAAAAATCAAAATCAACAAGCAACTGTAAACCAGAGACACACTGCAGGGGGGTGGGAGGGAGGGGCAGGGAGAGGAAGGACTAGGGTCAAAATAAGGGGGGGTGCAATTATATAGGGAATATAACCAAAATGATAATGCATACATTGTGCAAAAAAAGAAAAATGATGTAAGAATTATATAAAATAAAATATTAATTAAAAAATTTTAAAAATTAAAAAAAGAACAATTAGAGAATATCCAGACATATCCAGTAGAAGTGTAAAAAGGCATAGGTTAAAGGCATAGGTTAATATATCAATTTTTGTCTTTTTCCTTTTGGATTTGTGATTCTAGTTGGTTCAAATCTGGTTCAAAATCATCTGCCTTTTTCCTTCTCCCCACTCCCCACCCCCTCCCCATGCCTGCCCTGCCCTCACCTCTCAACAAGATTTATTTCACAGGATAAAAATCTCAAATAATTTTACCTGTATTTTTTTAAACACTAAACGTAACATGATTTGGAGCTATGTTGATACAGATTTGGGATTCAGGCCAAGCATTAAATATGCATCACAAGTATGACTTCATATACTCTCACCCCAAAAAGCATCTGTTTTGTTCATGATACTGAACTGACAGAAGAGTTTGTACACATTGACTGAGTTGAAGAAATCCACTGAAAAGAGGGGGCAGAGCTATATAATTCATACCTTCACACCCAGTCAAGCAGGATGGAAGGTGCAGCTGCCCCCCTAGGGCTGACCCTGGGGCCTGGACAAAGGGCCACCCAGGGGCAGAGCATGGCAGAGCCCAGTGCCAGTGGATGGAAGAAACCCCATTCTGCCTATAGGTTATTACTGTCATCACACATAAGAGAGGTGCAATAGCAATTGATATTTATTATTGTTTTTGTTTTTATTATAAACTGTAAAAAGGAAAAGGAAAATTATTCCAAGCAGAAGAGGAGTCTCACTAGGATGCTGTAGAAGTGGGTAGAATCCCTACGCCATACATGTCAATACTAGTTGAAAAAAGTGGTTAGATCAGTGCCTGCTACAAGTGGGTTCCTAGAGTCATGCAGGTAAGACTGAAATCAATCCCAGGAAGCAAACTGCTGACCTTTATTTAGCCAAAGACTCCATTTTGCAGATCACTGTTTCCAGAAGCAGTAGCTCACTTGGGAATGTAGAACCAGAGTCCCAGGAAGGTTAAAGGACAAGTATGTGCAAGATTATCCCATTGACTAAGCTCTAAGTCAAGAGAACACAGCTCATGTCCCTAGAAACTTTGACTCCAGGAATAATAGATTCAATTAAAGAAAAAAAATATTGACTTTAAAAATAGTTCAAATTGAGCTCACTAAGAAAACTGTTACTAAGCCAATCGAATACAAAAATAGTGAAACTCATTACTTAAAAACGTCTTGAGACTAAAAAAAAAAGAGGACTTTATCAACTGGAATGATAATTAACTGAATAGAAGTTAGGAGTGATTTTGCAAAATCTACTTCACTCTTTTTTGCCATCTTTAAATTTCTCTCAGCACCTGGTGGATCCGATCTATAGACTTTTTGACAGACAGGAGTAATGGAGTGACCCATTCTCAGATAGACTCATCCCTGCTTGTGAAGCAAAATTTTATAACTCAGTTCTCCATTTGGAGTCATGTGGTATATTTTATAAAGTTCTTAAAGTATTAGGTGAAATTTTGCAAATGAGAGAAATTTCTGGAGGGAGAAAAGAATGACATGCCCAACTCCACTCCCAAAAGGAATGACTACTTACGGTCTCTATCAGGAAGGCAAGTGCTCACAAGGACTGGAATATTCTGAGCAAGTTCCAAGTCTGATCTTCAGATACCCTCCCAACCTGCTGTTGAATTTGATTCATTAACTACAACCCTTTTTTTTTTAAAAGATTTATTTTTGACTTATTTATTTTATTTATTTATTTATTTATACAAGCACTGGGTACAGTCAGAAGCGCGGGAGGGTGAGGGAATTCACCAGAGCCAGAGCGGGGAGCAGAGCAGGCAGAAGGACCGAAGGACACTGCTGAGGGGAGCAGCGGGCGGCAGGAGAGGTCTGCGTGCCATGTGGGACTCTCCTCCGGTGGCCGGGGAGCAGCCGGGGATCGAACCGGCGCTGCAGAGGCTGCAGGCAGCTTCGCAACCCAGCGCTCAACCGCTGCGCCACCGGGGAGGCCCTAACTACAACCCTTTTAACCCTAGTAAATGGAAAAGACCAAGATGAGTGTCCTGATCTGGAAATCACCTGATATTTGCAGCAGTTTTTTTCTTCCCAATAGGAATAATAGCCACCTAAAAAGTGAGAAACAAAATCAGATACTGAAATATTGAGCTACAGTAGCTTCTGACACAATGGTGTTGATCTTAACACTGTACTTAACATGGACACTCCAAAAATATTTGTTCTCTAAATCAGTCTTTTGTGGCTGATCTGAGTTGCCTCTTATTTTTTTTTTTTAAGAACTCAAGACAAAACAGAGCCATGACTCCAATTTACTATGGGGTGTGAGGAATTATTTGAGAGAAAAATAGCTTTGGAGAGTGAAAACTGTCATCTAGAGAATAAATGGCTGCTGAGATCAAACACACAGGAGTTAAGGAAGCAGGCAGAGCGATTACATAGGTAAAGGCAGGTATGCAAAGTGGCATTGAAGCTACAATATGTTTCCCTCCACAGACTGAAGCAGCTCTGATGTATGATGCCGTGTACATGGTGGCCATTGCCTCCCACCGGGCTTCCCAGCTGACAGTCAGCTCCCTACAGTGCCATCGACACAAGCCGTGGCGCCTTGGACCCAGATTTATGAACCTGATCAAAGAGGCAAGTGCTGCTTGATTTATCTCTGATGTATCCATTTGGTGTGGTTCTATCTACTGGGTCCTATTGGCATTATATCTATCTACAAGGGAGGAGCAGTCCTTGCCAATCAGTCTGCTGGGATTTCAGTGGTAAATTTTGTCTAGAAATGCTATCAGGTATTTCCCAGCATGATGTTGAAAATTTCCACTGACATAACACTCATCCTTCATTTCAACTCTGGCCCCAGCTGCTGCTGGCCCCCCACATAAGTTCACAAGAACCCATCAATGCTTATCTCATAATCTGTTGAGTTAGGAGCAGGGTGGTCCTTCACTGGAGGATACCAGAGAGAATTCCTACATGATCAATTTATAATCCTATTGTCTCCCAAGCTTTAGGCTGTAAGGACTGGATGGAAGAACTTCTTTGCTATCACTATTCAAGAGTACATGGCACTTGAGGGAGGAGCATTCCTGATTATTGCCCCTGAGCTTCCCTCCACCTTTTTGTTTTCTTTTTTTAATTATTATTTTTATATTTCCCATACAATTGCAACCCCCTAATTTTGACCCCAATCCCTCCTTTCCCTGCCCCCCCCAAAGTGTGTCTCTGGTTCATAGTTGTTTGTTGATTTTGATTTTTTCTTTCTAATAGTTGTTCTTTTTCCTGGTCCCTTATTTAGGTTTTCTAGATTCCTGCTATGAGTGAGACCATCCGGTATTTTTCTTTTTCTTTCTGGCTTATTTCGCTGAGCATGATCCCTTCCAGCTCCATCCATGTTGCTGCAAATGGCATGTGTTTATCTTTTTTGAATGCTGAGTAATATTCCATGGTGTATATGTACCACATCTTCTTGATCCAGTCCTCTATTTTGGGGCATTTAGGTTGTTTCCAAAGCTTAGCTATTGTAAACAGTGCTGCTATAAACATAGGGGTGCAGGTGCTCTTTGGAGTTGATGTTTCTGTGTCCTTTGGGTAAATACCTAGGAGTGGAATTGCTGGATCATATGGAGGCTCTATCTTTAGTAGGTCCAGAAATCTCCACACAGCTCTCCATAGTGGCTGGACCAGTTTGCACTCCCACCAGCAGTGCAGGAGAGTTCCTTCCTCTCCACACCCTCGCCAACATTTGTTGTTGCTAGTTTTTTTAATATGTGCCATTCTCACTGGTGTGAGATGGTATCTCATGGTAGTTTTGATTTGCATTCCCCTGATTGCAAGTGATGTTGAACATTTTTTCATATGCCTGTTGGCCATTCGCATTTCCTCTTCAGAGAAGTTTCTTTTTAGCTCTTCTGCCCATTTTTTGACTGCATTATTTTCTTTGTTGTTGTTGAGTCTCATCAGCTTTTCGTAGATTTTTGTGATCAGTCCTTTATCATTAGTGTTGGGTGCAAAAATTTTCTCCCAGTCGGTGGGGTTTCTCTTTGTTTTTGTTATTGTCTCTTTTGCTGTGCAGAAGCTCTTTAATTTGATGTAGTCCCAGCTGTTGATCTTTGCCTTCACTATCACTGCTTTGGGTGATGTGTCTGTAAAGATGTCTTTGATGTGCAAATCACGTAGTGTTTCGCCTATATTTCCTTCTATGTATTTTATGGTTTCTGGTCTTATGTCTAGTTCTTTAATCCATTTTGAGTTGGTTTTTGTGCATGGTGTGAGGTAGTAGTCAAGCTTCATTCTTTTGCATATAGTGACCCAGTTTTCCCAGCACCATTTACTGAACAAACTTTCTTTTCTCCAGTGAATATTCTTTGCTCCTTCGTCAAAGATTAGTTGGCCATGGATCTGTGGGTTTACCTTTTTGTTTTCTTTAAGGACAATTTGACTTCTTTTCCCAAGGCCGTGTTCTAAGACCTAGATAGTTAGGTATCCCTGGACTATCTTCAAACCCAGCCTATACCTCAGGGTGTGTTCCAAGTTGATGAGGAGAAATGAGGCTCTGGGGAGCAGCCAGGTGTGACTGAGCAGTACCTACCCTCCTCAGTAGTGCTGCCCTAGTGCTTTCTCTATGGGATGCAGGATTTACCTTCACAGCAAGCATAACTTTATCCCTTTCCATACTGAGGAAGGTTGTGGTGAGACAACACCATGAGAAAGAAGAATGGGAGAGAATATGGTATGGGGGAAGAATGCCCAGCCCAGAGCAAGGGAGGAAGTCCAGAGAGACGCCGTCTCTGGACTCTGTCTATACTGGGCTTTCCAGCACCCTTAGGCCCTCTTGGCCATTCACCCTGCTTCCTTTTGAAAAATGACACTGATCTATAGGAGTGAGGCCCAGACAGGCAGGATGGATGAGGTTTGACAGTACCCAGGCTCCAAGGCAAGGGTCTTTGTGAGACTGGGACTAGGGTGCAGTAAGCAGCTAGAAGTGCCCTGGGCACACAATTCCAGGAGGCACCCCATCTCAGGCTTGACACCAATAAACTCCAGGAGATGGACAAGTCGTGTTTCTTAAATTTTGTGCCCTACCTTCTCTTTCACCTCACCCTAGTCTTTGCCTGGTGACTGCGCTTTTAAATCCCAACTCTACTGGGCCTCCCCTGGTGGTGCAGCAGTTGAGTGCTGGGCTGCGAAGCTGCCCACAGCCTCTGCAGTGCTGGTTCGATCCCTGGCCGCTGGCAAGGGTCCCACATGGTGCACAGAGCTCTCCTGCCGTGCCCGCTGCTCCCCTCAGCAGTGTATTTCATCAGTCTGCCTGTTCTGTTCCCTGCTCTGGCTCTGGTGAATTCTCTCACCCTCCCACACTTCTGACTGTACCCAGTGCTTGTATAAATAAAATAAATAAATAAATCTTTAGAGAAAAAATAATCCCAACTCTACTAACATTTATGAGCAGTCCAAATTCAATGAGCTACTTAAACTCCTTGTGTCTTACTTTTTTCACCGTAAAATGGGGATAACATCATCTAGCTGACAGTGTTACTGCAAGGTAAAGGAGGAAGATTATGAAGAACCATGCAGGAACATAGCAAGAATGTGAAAGATGAGCTATTCTCTGACCATTGGAATGGGCCGCTAATATCATCCTCATTCAAGTTGCTAAGAATGATGCCAGGAATTTAAAACTGGCAACACAACCACAAAGGAATCACAAATAGGCATGAAATGAAATACCCTCTCTGACAGCTACATGAATCTGACACACTGTCCCTAAGAGAAGAACATCACACAGCTGCATCTCTTCCCGCAGAGATTGTGGTTAGGTCCTAAGTCACCATCCTGATCACCTTGATCTCTAACAAGAAAACAGCTGGTTTCTTTTTATCTCACACCAATGCATGGAGAGGTAAGAGGCCACATGAAAGGTTGGGATCAAACACCCAGAGCACCCCAAGTACCTTCTGCCTGGTACTTCAGTGGCATAAGAAGGTGACATTACCAAGCTCCATTTAGACATGTTTAAAGAAATAATGAGCTCCAAGATGAGGGATCACGCTGAAAGCAAGAAAGCATTTAACATTCATTTACTCCAAAGAGCAAATTCCCCAATCTCGGGCTCCACAGGGGGGATGGGGCAGGAAGAGGGAAGTGGTGCATTGGAAACCTGTATGGCCATCATGTTCCTCCTGTCTTTTGTCTTCTGAGTCACGATGCCATATGCTACCTTTGGCAGGGTAGAGATTCCTGCAGAGAAACTGGGGTTGAGGGAAAACAAAAGAAATGTCCCTGCTATTGAAGGGCTGGCACTGAGGGAATTCTGAGACAGCTAAAACATGCCAAAGTTGGAAAAATGCAGGTGTTCCTCTCAAGGAGTACATAATCCAACAACATTCTGCTGGCATCAGGTTCCATTAGGAAACATGAAATAAAATGGTTGGTCCTGATGCTGCCCCTGACTTCATCTTTTAGTAACTATTTCTAAAGGATTTCCAAATCAAAAATAATATAAAGGCACAAGTCAGCATATTGAATTTATGGGGCGAAGATCAAATTCGTCACAGGAGGTAAACTTCCTGGGCAGAGAGATAGTTGCCTGCACACTAATCCCTAATAACTCCACACATCATTTGGAATCAGTGTGCCTTTCAGACAGGTCTCAAGCCAACTACCTTTCAGCATTTGGGGTTGAGGGAAAAGAGAAAGAATTCAAGAACACATTAAGCATGATGAACACGTTACGGAGTTCTTTCTCTGGGCATTTGCTAAATGTTACATTCTAAATTCCTACTCAGCAAGTATATACGGACTTCATTATGTAAGGAACACTAACTTGGCACTATCCAGAAACATCTCCCCCCAAAATGAATGTGGCTCCACTATCTACTAATACAAATTTTACTGTCTCCTGTTTCTGGGAGTTTCATATATGACATGTACTGCCTAGCAACTAGCTGGCATACAGTGGTTGCTCAATAAAAGGCAGCAACTGTTCAATCAAAGGTTCTGCTAAAAAGTGTGCATCGTTTCAGGTGTTTTTCAGGAAGAGATGATGTAATGCATGTAAAACATGAAGCCCACCGCCTAGTGGGTGGAAGCACACATGCTTGCTAGTGCTATTTTTGACATCACCATCATTATTATTGGACCCCCAACTGAAGTAGCAGAGTTTGCAAAAAGGCAGCGTAGGGCAGGAATGGACACAGTGCAGGTTTTCTAGGATCCCATGCAGACCGGGTAAAGGAAGAGTCAGAGTCCTCAGTGGTTTTTGCAGGTTTTATTTTTTTTTTTTTTTAAATTTTTTATTTATTTATTTATTTTATTTATTTTATTTATTTAATAGAGGCATGTTTTATTATTTATTTATTTGTTTGTTTGTTTGTTTTTTGTTTATACAAGCACTGGGTACAGTCCGAAGCGCGGGAGGGTGAGAGAATTCACCAGAGCCAGAGCGGGGAGCAGAGCAGGCAGAAGGACCGAAGTACACTGCTGAGGGGAGCAGCGGGCGGCAGGAGAGGTCTGCGAGCCATGTGGGACCCTCCTCTGGTGGCCGGGGAGCAGCCGGGGATCGAACCGGCGCTGCAGAGGCTGCGGGCAGCTTCGCAACCCAGCGCTCAACCGCTGTGCCACCAGGGAGGCCCGGT